GGGAGGTCAACAGTGATCACTGACTGTTTTAGGAGCTTTTTGAGATTAAATAGAAGAAAATACAAAACATTAAACATGTTAACAACACAAAAGCCATATTAAACGCAGACTACTTTAGGCCCGGAAGTAGGATTCGTCACGTCATCACTTAACGACCGGATATTATATTAAATTATATATTATGTACTGATTTTTCTTTCTTTTAAGAGAAAAATATTTTTTAACCTCACTTTCCATGTTTTTTGGGTGCACAAACTTAAAATGCATCTGTTAAACACAGAACAGGTAAGTATATAACCCCAATAAGTCATACCGTCATGCTTACTTATGTGGACTTGAAGACAAACCCGACACATGCAGTTAAAATTTAAATGTAATTATGACAACTTACAATAAATTACAACGTGCTTTTGCCAATAACAGTCAAATTCATAAAATTAGAAATACAATAACATTACACCATTGATAAATAAACAGATAAGACTTCAGGGGTGAATGAATCGTTGTTTTCAAGGAGTCAAACTAAATGGCAGACACAAGGTGCTTATGAGAAATTCATCGTGTAACTTTTTATCAGTTTCACATTTCAATACTGGCTCCATGTAGTGTTGCTATTATCAATGCCTACAATGAGATCAAACTAAGCAGGTGCAGTGCACTAAACATCAAACAGTGCCTCGTGTCACCTAACGCAACACAGACACACAACTGAGCAGTGGGAGATATTTCATAACAGCAGCTTATTGCTTCTCCTGTGGACTGACAAAAAAAGCTCACTTGCTACTGAGTGGCCTGCAGTCTTCCTTCAAATCACCTGGATTCATGAATACTGACAACAATGAACTAACAAACAAAGTTTCTCTTTTTGCGAGAGAAACATATGAAGCAAAGTAGTGTTCTTCCAACTGTTATTTTTATGTATCTGAGCAACTTACTGTGTATAATCGCCTGAAATAGTCATCTTGTAAAATAAGCTCTGACCCAGACTCTACAGGTGTGGGGAGACATACGACCAAATCCTGGGCATCCAGGATGCGAGTCTCCAGGTATCAAGCAAAATCCAGCGACTTCACATCTATTCTGCTTTCTTAAAAAACAGTCGCTGCACTTCATGAGGTGAAAATGAAGGAGTGCTGTCACAATAATTTCACAGTCCGGCAGCGGATGCCGCAGAGCTTCGTGGTTGAATCTGTGGTGTGTATACGTATGTTTCTAAACCGTGGCAGCAGATGTCAAATGATGACGGCAACTGTTTATCAGTGGGAGTTTTGCGTGTGTGTGTTATTGTGCAGGCATGACTCTCCACAGCTGTGCTCTTTTAGAAGCCTTGTATATGGCAATAGGCCTCCAGGCTAGAGAAGAGGACGTAGAGGAACCAGAGTCCAAAGAACAGCAGTGAGGTAAGGACTTTGGGGACGCGTGGGCCTCCTAGTTCACCACCTATGGACGGCCTTCGGCGAAGCATTAACACTCCCATACACAAGAAGGCAAAAATGGTGAAAAGCGTGACAGAGAAGGCCAGTGATCCTGGGTCCACACGGAAAACCTTCCCTTTGACTTCCCAGTATATGGCAGACACAGACCAGGCCACACCTATGCCCAGAAACACATTAACTGCGTTACTTCCTGTCACGTTTCCCACAGACGCATCTGCGTACTGATCCTGCGTAGCAGCAACTTTACTAGCAAAGGTGTCTGGAAAAAAAAACAGTCAAGTTAGAGAATGAGGCTAATCAGCTGTACATTCTTACAACTTCTGCAATACAAGAGTGTTTACAACAACAACTATGACAACAAGAATACCTCACTAACCAGGAAGAGAAGTCCCCAGTGCTACAAAGACCACTGCAGTGACAGTGTCTCTCAGGCCGACGGTGCACCCGAAATGGGAGGCTAGGTCTCCGATAATGGCTGTTAAAATACCAATGACAGTGATTGACACTATGAAGCACGCCCAGCCATTCCAGTACCCTGTGGGTGGGACGCAAGCAAACAGGATCTTCCAGAAGATACAAAATATGTGCATGAAATAGTCGAAGCAGTTGGGCACTCGCTGCTCCTCTCCTTCATCCTCATCACCTGTTTACCAAGACAGAGAGAAAGTAAATCAAACACGGCAAAAAAACAGAAAAGACGTCAATACCTAGAAATGGTGCAATCACAGTTTGGTCCAATCACAGAGCGCTTCATAGTATTAGTCGAAGCTTTAACCGTGTGGGACCCAACACATCAAAAAATAGCCAGAAAATTCAGATTTTTTGGAACTGAGATGTTTATTAACCCTCATTACAAAATCCACAAAATGTTGTGTATGATATATTTTTATTATATGTTTTTGTATCGCATTTGACACATTCAGCGTTTTTGGCAACTTTTTGTAAACAACAATGTTAATTTTAGACAAAAAAAAGGTTTTAAAATTGTAATTGACCTCTGTGCACTATTACATTGTAATTACATTGTAATTTACAATTTTAAAATTGATCATTGATCAAAGTATTGATCATATTGATGAGATAGAGGTCTCAGAAACTCATGTATCAACACTTTAAATGAGTAGATTTCCCATGTTCAGTTTTCTCCTTCTG